GGAGTTGGAAACAAAGTAGATGCCTATCAATTGGGGAATGACTAAACAAATTGTGTTAAATGAGTGTAATGGAATACTATTGTGCTATAAAAAATGATGTATGTGATAAATACAGAGAAACATGGAAAGATCCATATGAACTGATGCAGAGTGAAGTAAACAGGGTCAAGAAAATGATACATACTACAACAACGTAAATGGAATGAACAATGACACACCAAAAAATCAAAAGTAAATGTAGCAAAATTATAAAGATCAAGTGGGAATCACATGAAGAAATATGAAAAGACATCCCCAACCTACCCTTTCATGGAAATTAGGAGTCCACAGGTGTTACACATTGCACATATTTTCAGACTTTTTTCCAATATATTGATCAATTGTGCTGCCTTTTGTTTTCCTCTGTGAAAATTACTATTTATCACATGGGATAGTTCCCTGGGAGTGAGAGGGGGAAGAATACATGGGATACTATAATCATATAAGAAACAGTAAATACCAACAAAAACATATTAAAACAAAACAAATATACAAAGTAATACTCCAAATAACTGACAATAAAATAATTGAAAATCAGAACAACCTCAAGGCTTCACCTCACATCTAGCAAATTGGCAAAAATGACAAAAAATAGAATGGTCAATTTTGGAGGAGTTACAGGAAGATAGACACACTTAGGCATTGTTGGTGGATCTGTCAATCAGTACAACCATTTGAAAAGCAATTTTGAATTATGCAAATAAAGTGACTAAAAAATCCATACCCTTTGACCCAAAGATTCCACTACTAGGCTAATACCCCAAGGTTGTCATTGATAAGAAGAAAATACTCATAGACACCAAAATATTTATAGCAGAATTATTTGTGATAGGCAAGAAAGACTTGTAAACAAAGTTGATGCCCATTGATTAGAGAATGAGTAAATAAATTGTGGTACATGAACAAAATGGAATATTACTGTGCTGTGAAAAATGATGACTAAGATGAACACAGGAAGCATGGAAAGATCTGCATTAATTGATGCAGAATGTAGAGTGGCTCTGTAAACAGAGTCAAGAAAACAACATGTGTGTGTGTGTGTGTGTGTGTGTATACACACACACACACACAATGACTACAACAATGTAAATGGAAAGGTCAACCATGAAAAAAAACAAAACAAAAGTAAATGCTTCAAAATTACAAAGAATAAGCATGTCTTGAAAGAAGAGATATGAAAACTCACCCTATTATACTCCTTTTCAGAAGTGGGAGGTCCACAATTGTAATACATTGTATATATTTTCAGATTTTTTCAATGTAGTGATACATTATATTGATTTTTTAACTCCTTTTTCTTTTAAAGTATTATTTGTTATATGAGATGGCTTACTGGAAGGGAGAGAAGAGGGAGACTGGGGGAGTTATGATGATTTTTTTTAAATGACATCAATAAAAACATTTTTAAAAAATAAAAGATGGGCAAAGGAATAGGAACAGACACCTTCCATTGTATATTACTGGTGTTGACCAGATTCTCTTTTTCCACCCCTGTGGTAGGAGCTGTGCTTGTTTTATATGGATATCAGGCATTTCACTGGGGGTAGTTGCTAAGGAAGAGTCCCTCTAGTGGCTTTGGCCTTTCCTATTTCCCCCACTCTAGTATCACTCTCCATCACCTTTTTCTTGGGCAGTCTACCCAGCACTCTTGTATACTGGGTGTAGTACTTCCAGAAGCAGGTAAACCATTTGGTAGACTTTTAAGGTTGAGGGGATTGTTTGGATTCTTTGCCACCTGAAATTTAAGTGGCCTAGTCTATGTTGTTTGTCCTTCGTTTTAGAAGAGGACCAATGGCATCACAGGGTGATGTCTTAACTCCTTCATAAATTGGATTTAAGTAAGGCAGAATTTCACAGTCATCAACCTCCCTCTCTCTTCCAGAGTCTTCCAAGTCCAGTTGCAAGATGACTGGCGATGGCCTGGGATGCAGTGGATGACCTTGGTATCTTTGATGTCTAACCAGGTTCTAAGCAATCCACAGCACTTGATTTAGCTGACTGTTGGAACAAATTGTTCTCGTCTGCCCATTCTGCTTGGGGCAAGTCTTCATATGCTTGGGGTAGACACCCCTGTAATTCACTGATGTGTTCAAGGCCTGTCAGCTACCCCCAACCTGGTTTAGCTCGTCTGCTGAGGTTTTATTAGATATGGCCACTACTCATGCTTGGGCTTCTTAGAGCCACAGGTGAAAGCTAAATGCCAGCCACCAAAGGTGGATGAGGAAACCTTAAAATGGCTTGGCAAGCCCTCATGCCAGAGTTGCTAGTCCTCCTTGAACACATTATATATGTTAGCCTAGCCCATAAAGGAGGTATGTCAGATGCTACAGTTGAGCTCCTATTGCTTATGAAGAATGATTTCCTGAGTTTTTGACCCGGTAACCATGGAGGAAGGGGGGAGTTACATCTTACATATCCCTTTTAGCCTTGAAAGGTGTCTTTTTAAAATTTCTTATTCTTAAAAAGTTGGTTTTTATTGCATTTTATGAACCATGGGTCCCTTATTGAATTTTAACCCTGGAGTCTAAATCATTGGACATGGCACAGAATAGTTCCCTTCTTCTTTGTAAAAAGGAGGAAGGAAAAAAGGAGGAAAAAAGGAAAAATTATAAAAGGACTCATAAAAGTGAATTAACAATCATAATAGTGAATATGAATGGGATCAACTTATCCATAAATGAAGGAAGGCGACAGAGTAAATTTGAAAGTAGAACCCAATAATATGTTGTTTATAAGAAAAACACTTAAAATATAAAGATTCACATAGGCATGATGGCATAAGGCAAAATTTATGGTGCTTCAAAATTCAAAAAAAGGAAATTTCAGACAATATTAAAAATAGGGTGGTTAAAAGAGACAAGCAAGAAAACTACCTTTTGCTTAAAGCTACCTAGATAATGAAATAATATTAATACTTCATATATAAACTAAATGACTTTGGATCTAAGGTCCTGAAAGAAAGGTTAATTGAATTACAAGGAGAAATAAACAGAGAAATTATAATAGTTGTGCACCTTAATGTACTCATTTCAGACCTAGACAAAATTAACAAAAAGATGAATGAGAAAGAAGCTAAATATCTGAAGAGGGTTTTAGAAAATTAAATATGATTGAACTCTGACAATTACTGAGTGGGACTAAAAAGGAACATACATATACATATATATTTCTCAACTTTGTAAGGTATCTTTAAAAATTGACTGAACTAACATAAAAACCTCATAAATAAAGCAGAAAAACAGAAATATTAAACATCTTTTACTCACCATAATACAATAAAATTATAATGAAAAGCATTTGAAGGAACAATTTAAAATTAAATGGAGCCTAAATCATTTAACTGTAAAGAATTGGTTGGTCAAAAAACAAATCATAGAAATTATAGATAATTTCATCAAATAAAATTACAAAAATGAGACAAGATACCAAAACTTTTGAAAGAGTGTCTAAAGGAGTATTCTTTTATGTGTTAAAAGTCCCCTAGTATGGGAGCAGGAGTTGGGGAGGAAAGACTGTAAGTCAGGTACTGAACTCATTGAGGAAAAAAGGGGAGTGTCTGGGAAGTCAGTAGATAACAGCTACCAGAATCTTGATTAGGTGGTAAATGGCTGGCTGGTTGGTTGTTGTCCTTTGTTATTGAAGAAGACCAAAATGACATCACTATGATGGGGTCAAGGTACAGTGTGTCCAACTGTGGCTGATCAGACCAATATGAGCTTGGAATGCTCTACCTCAGGTTGAGCACAAATAGTCCATGAGAACATTTGGAGTGGAGATGTCTCTAAATTAGCACGTCTTACATTTCTTTTGAGCTACTGCAATTCTGCTTAGATTATAGAGCCCAGAGCCTTCTTTGATGAAGGCATCCCATGCTGTGCAGTCCAGTCCTTTGCCAGCATTGTCCATGTCATGCAAGAGATTCCAAAGTTCTTCAGAGAGACCTTGAGAGTGTCCTTGTATTGCTTCTTCTGACCACCATGCGAGCATCTGCCTTGTGTGAGTTCTATATAAAATAGCATTTTAGGCAAACGTACATTTGGCATTTGAACAACAAGGCCAGCCCATTGGAGTTGTGCTCTCTTCAGTAGAGTTTGAATGCAGTAGAGTTTGAATAGCTCAGGAAAGGACCTCAATATCTGGTACCTTATTTTGCCAGGTGATCTTTAGAATCTTCCTAAGAGAAATCAAGTGAGGGTGATTCAGTTTCCTGTCATGGCACTGATATACAGTCCAGTAAAATGAGAGATCAGTAGAACATACAACATACATAAGCATACAACAATGAGGTCAGCACAATGGCTCTGTAGACCTTCAGTTTGGCAGGAAGTCTAATACCTCTTCTTTCCTATATTTTCCTTCAAAGCATTCTAAATACTGAGCTGCTCCTGGCAGTGTGTGCCTTAACCTCATCATCTATATGTACACCATGCAAAGTATACCTGCCAAGGTAAGTGAACTTATCCATAGTATTTAAAATGTCTCCATTTGCTGTTAACCACTGGTTCCACATATGGATGATGTGGTGCTGGCTGGGGGAGAACCTGTGTTTTCTTGGTGTTAATTGTTAGGCCAAAATCAGTACAAGTAGTAGAGAATCAATCTGCACTTTGTTGCATCTCAGCTTTATGGACTGAGTGAACCTCAAAGGAGAGGTTGCTGAGTGATGGTACTATCAGGAGAACCTAGAAATGGCAATGGGGATCAAAGAATTATCCAGCTCCCAAGCTTCTACCAATGAGTTGGGGAATCTGAATAAATGGGCAACTCGAAAGGGTAGCCTTTCCAATTGGTTGGTTGGTTAGTTGTCCTTTGTTCTTGAAGAGGACCAAAGTGACATCACTACGTTAGAGTCAAGGTGCAGTGTGTCTGACTGTGGTTGATTGGACCCATATGAGCTTGGAATGCTCTGCCACAAGTAGGGCACAAATAGTTCAGGAAAGAGGGAGCCAGGTTTCAGTGAGAGCCATAATATGGAAGGAGTAGAAAAGGAAAAGATTTAAGATGAAAGCAAGTTTGTTACCTGTGGAGCAGGCATTCCAGAGAGCACAGTATTAAGGATGGGAATGTTAGAGTGGGATATTGGAGATGGCGAGGAGAATGGGAACAAGGGAGTGGGCAGATGGGTGAGTAATGACAATTGGGAGGAGGTTCAAAATCACTAGGATTAGTTGGGTATGATAAGGTAAGAGTTTGTCAATTCTTGAGGAATGAGTTCAGGTAGGTTATTAACATCCCTAAGTGTTTGGCTCTGAGTGGAGTTCTCTCAGGGCATTAGACAGTACTGAGTAGCTGGAAGGTGGAAAGGAGGTATCCATATGAAGGCAAGCATAAGCAGGTTATTTGTAGAAGGAATGAATGGCATTTCAGATTTCAGTCCTTCCTAGTAGACAGACCAGGCCAGCAGATAAGTGGAAGGAGTTCAATGGGGTGATGCTTCTTTCTTCTTGGACAGGCAGGCATGGCCAGGCTAGGAGACCCAGGAAGGATCTCAAATGAAGAAAGAAAATTTTGGGTGGCTTCTGACAGATGGAATCAGAGTTGGAAGAGATCTTATACCATAAATATCAGATTGAGAGGAGACCTTGGAGAGAATCTAGTCTGATCTCTTCATTTTACGAGGTAAGGAAACTGAGGTCTAGGGAGTTTATTTGACTTGCTCAAGGTCAAACCAATGAGTTAAGACAGCTGAGATTAGAATTTAGGTCTATATTCTCCAGGTCAGAGTTCTCTCTCTCTCTCTCTCTCTCTCTCTCTCTGTCTCTCAAAAATAAATATTTTATAATCAAAACTGAATGCTGTGAATCTACAATGACCAAGCATGACCCTAAACAAGAGATATGAGAAGGCATTTCTTTGTAGGGGTGGGGAACTATACATGTAAAACACCACATGTGATATCAATTCCCCCTCCCCCCAGTGTTTGTTAGTTATGCTGAACAATTTGTTTTCCTCTTTTTTATTCTTTGTTATGAGTCATGGTTCTCCTTTCCCAGTTCCTATTCTGACTCTGTTTAGACCATTCCACCATTTCTCAGCAGCCTCCTTACCCTGGAAGATCCCGCTGCCTCAACAGTCCCTCCTCTAGTGGGTGAGTTCCTCCCCAGAATTTTGAGGAAGTGCTCTAGACAGCCATGTTTACTACTCCACTCCTCTCCTATCTCCTTCTGCCTCTCTGGACTTTACCATGGTGGAATAGTAGTACCTTCTCTTCCCGCCCTCCCTCAAGGCACTTTTCAGCTTCCTTTTGTGTTTTGTCTTCCTGATTAGAATGTCAGCTTCTTGGGGACAGGGACTATCATTCCTTTTGGTTGTATATGTATTCTCAACTACTTTGTTGTTGTTGTTCAGTTGTTTTCAGTGGTGTCTGACTCTTTGTGACCCGCAGTCGGTGTTTTCTTGGAAGAGATACTGAAGTGGTTTGCCATTTCCTTCTCCAGCTCATTTTTTTCAGATGAAGAAACTGAGGCAAATAGTGTTAAGTGCCTTGCCCAGGGTCACACAGCTAGTCAGTGTCTGAGGCCAGATTTGCACTTGGGGAGATCATCTTTCAGACTCCAGGCCCAGCACTCTATCCACTTTGACACCTAGCTGACCCTCTCAGCTACTTTCTAAGTGCTTGACTTGGGAGGTAGGTAGAAAGGAAGAGGTATATACTGAGAAATATAAATGTTGTAAACACTTCAAGAAAAATGTAAATAAAATAAAATAGATCTTTTATTGATATTTTTAAAAATCTCAAACACTCCCTAGTGATTCTTTCTTCTCCAGCCCTTCTGGGGCTCTATACTGTAGGACCTGGAGGTGTTGAGTACAAAAGCTGAAATTGCTTTGGACCAGCAGAGGGCAGTAAAGTATTACTGAGAATTGTATATTCACCCCATCTATAGAGACAGAGTGGTTGGTTGTCTGACCTTAACTTAGAAAGGCACCTGACTCCTTGACCACTAGGTTCTGGGGATGCTCTGGGAGAGTATTGTTGGAAGAACTGATGTCTGGCCAGGCTGGACCAAGGTCAGAACTTGCAAGTTAGTGGCTGGTCTCCCTCTCCTCCCCCAGCTCAGGGAAGCAATTCATTTCCTGTCCTTGGACATCCACGGCAGATGTCCCACCCCCTCTAGTGGATTCACCTTGAAAGAAAGTCAAATGGCCCTTTCCTCTTTCCCAGGAAGTTGTGAAGTAGGCCCATTGTTAGGGGCTACTTTACAAGTATTCAATCAAAAGACCGAAGGGGCTTAAGCTTTTTGCTCAGGTATCTAATCTTATCAGCCCCTAAGGTTACTTTTACAGGCTGTCCACTCCCTAGACCTAGGTCTTGTGAACTTCAGAGCATTTGGGGAGATAATTGGTTTTTCAGTGATTCAATCAAAAGAGAATCTCCTGTTCCAGACTTCAAAGGGCTCCTAAGGTGGAGTGTTAGCTGGGAGGGTGTGGGGGTACTTGGAGTTAGTTTTAAAAGACTTTGAGTTTACACCTAACATTTGGTAACACCTGAGTTCTACCAATGGGGGGGGTCATGGATCTGGATTCCAAAAGGCCCTTCAGAAAACATCCAGTCCAACCCCCTCAATTTACAAACTGAGGCTCAGAGAAGCTGAGCAATTTTACTGAAGATCCCCCAGCTAGCAAGAGACCAGAATTGGAATGGGGAAGGTAGTAATGAATGAACTCTTTCAGAGTTATCAGATAATTTGAAGTGTGCTGACTTTACAACTCATTTGTAATCCCAAGGACAGAATTGTCTTTGAAATCTGAACCACCACCTGAAATATAGTAGATAGTTCTAAAAACCTTATCCCCCACCCACCCACCTGTGTGGCCCTAGTAATATCATTCTCCTCTGAGTCTGTTTTCCCCTCGGTAAAATATTCAAGACGATTAAGAAAATCTTTTCTAGCTAAAGAATTTTGAGACTTTAAGAATCACAGGGTGTGGGGGCAGGGGTCTGGTGGTTTAGGGAACCACTTGGCTAAGATCTCACAGGTAGTAATAGCCTCTCACATTTATATAGTGCTTTAAGCCTTTCACATTTACATAGTGCTTTACTCAGGATAACCACGAGAAATAAGTAGTTTAAGAATTATTACCACCTTGGTACCAGCGGAGGAAACTGAAGCTCAAGAGGTTAAAGGTCAGACAGGTAAAAAAAAAGAGGGGGTTAGATGCTATCTTAATGGGGGGTGGAGTGGATTCCAAATAAAATTTTGTTCTAGTGCTTACAGTTTAATTGTAAAGGTAATATACCGCAAACAACGGAACTCTGAAAGTGCCCATTTATTACCATCTCCGTTATCCCACCCTTGCTACTTGCTAGCTGTGGGAATTCAATCTCACGAATTCTGATTTCAAATTCACTGACTCCTCTTTCCAGGACACTGGCTACTTCTTCGAAGGGCGTGGAAGGCTGTATCGCCCTGGGTTTGCAGAAATCTCAGCATAGCGCCTGCCTTGTTTCTGGGTGTGGGGCACCGGCAATTCTCACTCAGTTCTCCACTCCCTTCCCGAAACACCCCCCCCCGCCACGCCCATCTAATGAATTCCTGGCATTTAGAATTTTAGAATTCTAGACTCTTGGAGTCTGGAAGGGACCGTGTAAGTCATCTTGTCTAACTTCGCAGTTAGAGGACCTGCTTAATCAACTTCACTACTGGGACATCTCTCTCCCCCGCCCCCGCAGTGAAGCATAGTAGTTTGACGCAAAGAACACCATCGACCTTAGAGTCAGAAAAAAGAATGCTTCCCAATTTAGGCTCTACTGGTACCTCATCTCTTTAGATCTTTCTCTGAGCCTATTTCCTCCTTTGAAAAAAAAAAAGAGGGTGTGTATATCCTGCCTTGCAGGCTTCATCGGTGTGTTGTGAAGATGAGGTAAGAGCAGATGCGAAAAATGCTATTGTAAACCTTAGAGGGCGGTAGGAAACGCTCACATTTTGGTAGCACTTTAAGGTTAATGTAATATTTTCCTTTCTAAGCAGCCCTTGACAGTTAAGGAATGCAATTACTATCAGCCCATTTTACAGATGGGGAATCTGAAGCTCAGGGCTAGGAAGTGACTTCCCCGGAGACATAGTTAGCAAACAAGAGTCAGAGCTAAGAATCCCAACCCAGGTCTCCCGTTTTCCGTCTTTTCATTACTCCGCTACATAATGCATTCTCACCCGAATAATTTCTACATAAGCGTAACATATTATTATGGCTAAATACCTGACCTTGGGCAAGTCATTTCTATTCTCGGCTTCAGGTCGCTCTAGTCTATCCCACACCCATAATTCATCAGAGGGGCTTGGACTCTGTTCCAAGGTTCTTTCCAGTTTCGACTTTGTTATTCTGATTCTGGATGCTGTGTGCGTGTGTTTGGGAAGGGGGTGGGGAGGTGAAGGGAAGGAAAGTTTCCTGACACCTTCTGGGCTCCCCTTTCTCCTTCCCCTCCCAGGAGAAGATCAAAGGCCCAATTAAGGAGGTGCTAAGAGTAGAAGCCGGAATTTCAGGTGTCAGTCCCCAGGGCTAGGGGAGTGGGTCTCTGTGGATTGAGGGAGGGAAGGAATTGTTCACGACTCATCTAAACTGGGGGAGGAGAGCGTGGTGGTGTCTTGGAAAGGGTCCTGGACTTGGAAGTCCGGAGCTCTGAGTTTATATCCTCTCCCTAACACTTAGTAGCTGTGTGACCTTGGGCGTATACCTTCACTTCTCTGAAATTGTTTTCTCATCTCTAAAATGGGGGTGGTCATACTTTTACTGTTTACCAGGGGTATTGCGATGGTGGTGTTTTGTAAAACTTAGAGTGTTATAATGGGAGCTGAACCGAGCGAAGGAGCCACCCGATCTTGGGCTAGGGTCGCCAGAGGGCGCACCCGAATCGTTGAGAAGTCAATTCCGGATCCACGCAGGGCAGCGAGGACTTTTCTGGGCTCTCGCCCGCTCCGGCTGCGGCATTTAATTAGGTCCCGGACTTCTAGAGTCCCAAGTAGGCTGGGTAGGGGATAAAAAGAGCCCCTAGAAGGCGCGAGCCCAGGCCAGTCGCCCCTCCCACTCCCTTAGGGCAGAACTGGCCCTTGCATCCTGCCTCCGCCTACACCTGCCGGGCTCAGGTGCTAAGAGGGGTTTGGCGGCTGGGGGTGGGGGAAAGAGGGAGGTGCGACAGCCGCCACGTGTCCCAGCGCAGGAAACTAGTGAACTCTCGAGCCAGTTTTACAACAAGAACGAATACCAAGAGAACCAAGCTTTCATTGAGCACCTGTTCCACCAGCCAAAGTCCTAGTCTGGTCAGAGGCGGGATGTGGCCCGGCTACAGGACCAGTGCTCGGTCCCGAGCCACGCGGACCCGGCAGGTCCCAACTCAGCACCTGCCCCGGGGGCTCTGAGGGAGGGGCCGGGGTGTCTCGACTGCTGATTGGCTTAGAGGTGACAAGTGGGCGTGGCGGTCCCGCCTCCTGCCACTCTAGCCTCAGATCCCCTTTATTAGGAAGTTCCCGGGGCTGGCAAATTCAGACTGGAGTGCGAGAGCTGAGTAGCTTGCGTTTCCAGTACCGTATACCAGGCGCAGCGGTCAACGATCGAGCCCCAGGCCCGGAATCACCATGCCTCGCTCCTTTCTAGTCAAAAAACATTTCTCCACCAGCAAGAAACCCAACTACAGCGAGCTGGAGAGTCAGACAGGTAAGGCACTGAGCTGGAGTGGACAGTAGGGAGGGAGAGGTCGGCCGGGAATAAGACCAAGCTTAAGTAGACAGAGTGGGTGAGGTTGAGGAAGAGGAGATACCAACCTCTGGGAGCTCCTCTACCCAGTGGGATGGAAACATCTGGGTACAGCTGGATGAACTCTGGGTGCCAGCAGGATGAGCTAGTGGGGAAGTCCTGGAATGACTTGGGGACAGGAAAAAACGGGAGCCTTGGGAGTAGAAGGGTTTCAAGTTGCTGTGCCTTTTGCTAAGATGCCAGGGGGAAATGGTTCCCTTAAATTTTTGGAGGTTGGGGTATCATTCAACCTATATGGGAAAGGACCATTTAAGAGAAGCCTAGAACTGGGGAGGGCTAGGACTGTGATGGGAGATAGATCTGGGAGGAAAGGGTCCCTTTAATCTGTAGAGGATGTATCCTGTTTAACCCTCTTCTTTCCTCTCTTCTTTCTCACACTTCCAGTGATTGTGTCTCCCCACTTGTATGACCAATCCTACCCGATGTTGGCCATTCCAGCACCAGAGGTCCTCAGTCCAGCAGTATGTTACCCGCCACTGGTCTGGGATAGTGGGCTGCTCTCTAGCTTTTTCACTCCCATGCCAGTGGCTGCTTCTGGACCCCCAGAAGAGCCCAAGGCCCTGGACCTGACTTCTCTGTCCAGTGACGATTATGACAGTGGCAAGGGATCAGATCCTCCAAGTCCAGTCTCCCCGGAGGAGGAGGCAGAGAAATTCTCCTGTGGTCAGTGCCCTGAATCCTTCACCACCTTGCCTAGCCCCTCCAAACACCAGCAGCTGCAGCACAGTGAAGATGCCCAGCCTAGAAAGTCCTTCATCTGCAAGGTCTGTGAGAAGGAGTATGTGAGCCTTGGTGCCCTCAAAATGCACATCCGGAGCCACACACTTCCCTGTGTCTGCAAGATTTGTGGGAAGGCCTTCTCCCGGCCCTGGCTGTTGCAGGGTCACATCAGAACCCACACAGGTAAGTGACCCATATTATCCCATCCTCTGTTCCTTCTTCATACATGTTTTAAGATGATAGGATTTCAGTATAGGATTTCAGGTGGGGCACTGAAACACAACTAGATTGTTGAGAATGCAAGGAGTCTTAGAGATCCATTAACCCAACTCCTTCATTTTAGGTTCCATGCTGTTCCCACAATAGTTTTCTGGAGTTAAGTGGGACAGCTGATGTTAGCCCTGTTAATGGGTGAGAAGTGGAGGGATGGCTTGCCTAAGGTCACAGAACTTAATGCCTCACTCATACACATGTACTTATGCTCGATTTTTTTTTATTCATTCATTCATTCATTCATTCATTGATTTTAGCACTAAGACTAGTGGGCTTCTGAAAGAACAATGTGTCAAGTACCTGGAGGGGTAAGAAGGTACTGAAATAGGCTTGATGCTGTCAGCAACAACAAACACTTATGAAGTACTTACAGTGCACAGAATTTCAGAGTAGTGGCTAGTAATCTTATTATCTCCTTATATCCTGTTTTAATTTGCCATTTTGCCCTGGGAGAGGCCTCCTTTGGATAACCAAGTTCTCTCCCATCTCAGCCATATGGGAAAATGGAGTTTTGGATGTGTGAGAGTACTCTTTAAGAAGGAAATTGAGATGTTTAGCCATCCACCTGGCCCAAAAGTGGGTTTGGTGAAGGGCTCAGACCAGGAAGTTCCCCCTCCTCATTGTTCCAGCTTCTCCCTTCTCTCACCCATCCCCCTCTCACTAGGGCTTTTATATGCAAAGAGGCCTCACCCATTCCAGCATCTGGCCACTTGATTTTGTGGAAAGAGCTACTTAACCTGGCATGCAACCCCATATTGGATCTGTAAAATTTATTAGCAGAGTGACCTTAGGTAAGTAATTTCCCCTCCTGGGCCTCAGATTCCTCATCTGTAAAATGAGGAGGTTGGACCAGATGACTTCTAAGGGCCCCTAAGATCCTATGATCCTACTGTCTACCTGGTGAAATCTTAGGTACTGGGGGAACTGGTCAGCTCTTATGGAGCCCTTCCCCTACACATACATTTTTTAAAGTGACATTAATTCAATTTCGAAGCCAAAAAATCCTACTACAAAGCTGCTGTTGTTGAAATGCATAATTTCAAACCTTGATTTTCATTGTCTGCTTTAATGGCAGCTTTGGGGGAGGGGGGACAGTGAGGGTTGGTGGAAGGAAGGGTGAGCAGGTGCTGTGATGGAGCAATGTCTGTGCACCTGTTACTGTGGGCCGGGCAGCTGCTGGGCCCGGGGTGCCTTCCCCTTTTAATCCAAGAAGTATCACATATACAATGCAGCCTTCCCCTGCCTTTATACTCCACACAGGGCTGGGGCAGCCTTGCCGGTGCTGATTTCACACTTGCTTAGCATGGTATAAAGATGTCTGAAGGAAGTTGGTCAGAGGCGGAGGCAATCCACTGGGGCATAAGGCTTGAAGGCTTCAAAAAAAAAAGGCCCTCCTTCCCTGAACCCCGCCCCCCCCAAAAGCTTTTTCTTTTTTAAGGTCTCTTTCTGAATGAAGTTTTCTTAGGAAAGTCCATGGCAGCTATAAGATTCAAGAGAGCCCCTTGGGTTCCTGTTGTAGCTCAATATGTATTATACTCTCCCTTATTCCATTTGTACCCTTCCTTATTTGTTCCCCTGGAGGGTTCCATACCATCAACAAGATTTAGAGCTAGAAGGGATCTTAGAGACAATTCAATCTAACCTTCCCATTTTATAGAGGTGGAAAATGACCCTCAGAGTTTGTGACTTGTCCAAGTAAGCAACTGTCTGCTAGGATTCATTCATTCGTTCAACAAACATGTATTATGTACAAATCAGTGTATCTGACACTGGATATCAAAGAAATTACATTCTTGGGGTGTGAAGGTCTAAAAAGTACTTCTACAAGGTGGGGGTGGGGCAAAGGAGCCATCCAAAACAAAGTACTCCAGGAGTATCTGCTTTGAGGAGAGGAGCACTTTTCAGTGGAGGTGATTAGGAAAGGTTTTTAAGATGGGAAGTGGTGCTCAATTGGAGCTTTGAATGAGGATAATGGTTCTCAGAGGAGGGCCAGGAAGATGGATAGGGAAATGCACAAAAAAAAAATGCACCAAGGCCGATGATCTAACAGCTGGCAAAAAAGCAAGGGGTTTGTATTTTTATCATAAGGGCAAAAGGGAACCACTGAAGGTTTTGGAGCACAGGAAGAGGGGCATTGTTAGACCTCTCCCCTAGTAGAATCCCCTCCTCAAGAATGGAAAGTACAGTGGCTAAGTACAGTTCCTGGTAGAGTATGGGCTGTATAAATGTTTGTCAGTTAGGAAGATTATTTGATAAGAGTGTCAGAGATTGAAAGGGGCCAAGAGTTTAGGCAAGGAAACCAATTAGGCTTTGATAGCCAACTAAACAAGTGATGAGGGCCTAAAGTAGGGTTAGTAGAGGTGGAGGAATCTGTGACTTCAAATCTCATGCTCTTTCCACTAAACCATGCCTGCCCCTCCCTAGGAGGCTAGTGCAGCTCCCTTTGGGCTGCAGTTTTTCTCATTGGCTTTCCCTTGTTTTGAGTCCCCTGATGGTGTATAGTAACATGTTTCCTGTACTGCTCTGAGGTTTATAAAGTGCTTACCTCATCACAGTCTGGTGGAAGAAGTAGTCCATATGATTATTCCCCTTTTATGGATGAGGGGAAATGACTGGCCTGCCTTTACAAGGTCACCAAGAGGCAAGTCTCCTGCCATTCAGGTGTTACAGAGCAGAGGCCCAGGATGTGAGGTCCCCACACTTCAGTTCAAATGTTAGTTCTTCCGTTCATTGCCTCTAGGGGCAAAACAGAAGGGGGGGGGCGCCAAGAGGACTAGACAGGATTCCTAGTGTTAGAAGGGGCCTTCGTTGTCACTGTTCCAATCCCCTCTCCTTTCAATAGGGGAGGAAATTTGGTCCCAGAGGTTGTAACCTGCCCAGGGTCACCCAGGAGCATTTGAACCTAGATCTTCTGACATCATAGTACATTCTTTCCTCTGCATCACAAGTATATGTTTGATGGGCTCCAAAGCCCCTCCCAGCCCTAAATTCTGCGAGACCATGATATGAGTGTAATCAGCGATACTCTAATATCTTAAAGATAGTGCAGAAAGGCCCAATAGTCCAGATTCCTGGGCTTACTGGCCATGCCAAGGTTATCTGGGCCCCAGTGAAGGGGGGATGGTGGGGGTGGGGGTGGGACATCCTTTAAAGCCTCAAGAGAGAGGAGTGGTTCACTGGGAGCCTCACTCTGCCTTGTCTTTCCCTAGGGGAGAAGCCATTCTCCTGCACACACTGCAGCCGTGCCTTTGCCGACCGCTCCAACCTCAGGGCCCACCTGCAGACCCACTCGGACGTCAAGAAGTACCAGTGTAAAAGCTGCTCGCGGACTTTCTCTCGAATGTCCTTGCTCCACAAGCATGAGGAGGCGGGCTGCTCGGGCTCCCGCTGAAAGACTGCATATTGAGGGGAGGTCCCGTGCACAAGATGCCCCACCGCTGCCTGAAGTCTCCCCTTCTCCCCTCCCATGTTGTGAAAGAGCCAATCGAATATTTGCCATTATGATTTTCAAGGGGGGAAATGTTTCTATAGGAAATAGCTCCCCTGTGTTAACTCCAGCTGTGGAGCAACATCCCATCCCCACCCCCCCCCACACTCCCGCCACCACCTTTTCCCTGCCCCCCTCCCCAACTTGCTGCTTCAGTCCTTAATGAAAAGAACTGGTGACAATTTTCATCCTCACCCTCCCCCACCCCACCCCCTTTTGGACTCTGTCTTTTTTTTTTTAAAGGCCGTTCAGGCATTTCCTGACTGTAGTTTACAATTTGAACCGTGACAGTTGCAGCTGGTGTCTGAAATGTCACTTACAGTCAGTCTCCTGGGGGTGTTGTCAGCCTCCTCCAGTGAGGGGGTGTGGAGGGGGGGAGTGATTTTTTTTTCCTTTTTCTTTTTTTGGTGCTTTTAAACCAAGTCTGTTGGTCACTATTCCTATTCAGAATCCTACAAATTTCAATGCCTCACCCCCTTCTGCCAAGATGAAGGACAAAAAAAAGCAATCAGGGGGTGTCCTAATGAACCTTCACAGTGGGTTCTGAAGGTCTGTCTGCTTCTATCTGGAGGAAGCCACTGCATGTTCTAAACGTGTTACTATGCACTTGGCCGGCCATGGTCCAGCTGCCGCCAGCCACAATGATGGACCCGGGGAATGTGTGGGTCATTGACAACCTCCCCAAGAAGCATGAGGAGCCATTTCAAGTCTGAATCCCTATTTCTAGGGTAGTTCTGAGCTGGAGCACCTGTTAATATGACTAATAGTAAGCACTTGTCAAGCCATACAATAAGGGGGCTGTGCAGGGCCTGGCCCACTGACAGGTGTGTCCTCAGCTATTTATGGTGCCAGACAGGTGCACCAAGTAGGGATCTCTGCCTGTTTTTTTTTCCCCACATACTCAGAAGATGTTTACATTTCAAAGGTACACTGGTATTTATATTTTTATGCCACATTTTGTACTGATGAAACATTTTTATAATTATATACACACAATTTATTGATATTCAATAAAGTGCTTAATTTATAAAAATAAGTAATCACGTGGATGATCTGGCTTTGATTTCAAAATATGCTCTCAAGGATTAAAAAGGCAAGTGAGTATGGATTATCTGAGGTGGGAAAGGGGGCAGCTGGTGGAAGAGGCCTTTTCCTCGACTGACTCCCCACCATCTCTTATTGGTTTGAAAATGGTCTGTAGAGTTTGAAGGAAAGAGCTTTGGCTTTGGGATCAGAAAAACAAAACAAACCAAAAAACCCTTTTGGTTTAGTGTGACCTTGGGCAAGGCACTTCCCTGATTCTCGGATTCCAATTTGAGATTCTTGATGAGAGACTAGACCAAGGACTCTATTAGCTCTTAGCTTCTAGTCAAATTCAAATTTCAATAACTACTAGTGCTAGCCCCCTAGTTGGCAGGGGATTGGGGGCAGTAATGGTGGAGAAGCTTTGTATAGACATATGCTTCCCAAATAGGCTATAGTTGGTCCACTCCTCCTCTACTCCCTTTACACCAGAACTACAGGCTGAGGAAGCTCTAATCTATTCCTTGAAAGGAAAACATACTGTTGACTTTTGACTTTTGGTGGATACAGGAAAAGTTTCCCTTCCCCAGCCCCCATCCACATCTCATTCAGGGCCTCCTGGAATTTGTCATTAGAAGGCATGAAGTTGAGAGTGGGATGGGAAGAAAGGTCTATTATTCCCTAAAATCCAGTGTAGGAATGTGGTCTTCCAGGAAGGAGGAAGACAGAAAGCCTTCTTTGAAGGTCTCCCTCTCTATACACAGAAAGAGCTCCTTGTGGGATGGACCTTGGCTGACCCACCTCCTGGGTGGTGATAAGCATAAAATATCTTTTGATGGGAGGAAACTGGATGAGATCTGTGCCTTGGAGGAAGTAAAGTTGAGTTACAGAGGCTAGGGTCTCCCAGTTTCCTGTCTCCAGAGTCAAGAGAGAAGGGTTATTTCTACCAATGGAATGTAATTTTTTTTTCATTTTGTTTTTATATCTTCAGTACTTAAAAGCACATATAAATTAACAACAACAACAAAAAGCATCTATTAAGCACCTACTTTGTGCAAAGCACAGTGCTAAGTACTAGGAATATACAAAGAAAGTGAGACAGTTCCTGCTCTCAGGGAGTTCTCTTTTTAATGGGGAAAAGACACCAAGAAGGTCAGATGGAAAGGTCCCATGATCCTTTGGGCACAGCAGCAAAGCAGATGATAACACCTCTTCAACGCCATTTCCACTAATAAAAGACCCGTCACTTTCTGATGTTGAACAGTTTAATGTGCCAAGGACTCGGGTGACACGTTTCTTTTCTGGGTCTTTCATAGCTGTGACTACAGAATTCTCAGAAGAAACTGCCAGGCTACATTTCCACAGGGGCTGCTTCCTTTGATTATGGGTTTGGGGACTGGGCTGGAATCAGGACTGTTGATCTGGCAGATTTGTCATGTTCAGAGTTGAGGGGCTTACCTGCCAGTTGGTGGCAAATAGCCATCTGCTGATGGCAATGGTAGGAAGGAATGTGAGCTCCTTCTCCACATTGGTCCCTTCACTGATGGGTATTAATTAGTTCAGGCCTGGAAGAAAGACCAGGGGCCAGAAAGGAATTGTTATTCCCAAGACTCTAGGATTCTGGGTCCTGGGCTATCTCCATTGGGATCCAAAGGGAGGTGGTGGTTGAGGTCATACTGGTAGTGTGACTCACCTACCATATGCTGACTCTTTTGGTTCTGGGCATTTTCACTGGCTATCCCCCATGCCTAGAAAGCTCTCATTTCTCATCTCAGGATCCTGGCTCCTTTGAGTCCCAGCTAAACTCCCATCTTTTATAGGAAACCTTTCCCAATCCCTCTTTAATCTAGTGCCTTCCCTTAGATTACTTTTCATTCAGCCTGAGTGGCTGGTTTGTACATAGTTGTTTGCATGTCTTCTCCCCAATCAGATCATAAGCTCCTAGAGGGCAAGGATTGTCTTTCCCCTTTCTTTGTATACCCAGCACTTAGTACACTGCATAGCACCTAGGAGGCACTTAATACTTATTGACTGATTGACTATCTCTCTCAAGGTGCCTTGCTGCTTCAACTAGCTTGGCTTACCTGTAGGTACTTAATACAGGATTATTGAAGTGAATAGAAACATTCAATAGTAGCAAAATTTGGTGGGGAAAGCATTGGATTTGGGGTCAGAAGACCTCCATTTGAGTGCTTGCTCTGGCACTTAGAGCTATGTTACCTTGGGTAAACTAGTTCATCTCTGACCTCAGTTTGCTTATCCCTAAAATGGGGATGATAATTCTTGTACTACCTAGTTCACTGGGGTGTTGGAATAAAAAAGTGCTATTCTAAGTGTTAACTACTGTTATTAGAAGGCAACTTTAGGGATAGCTTGGGTCCTCACCTCGGTTCTGCTGCTTCTTGTTGTCAAAAGGGAAGAGCTTCTTGCATTCCTTTCAAGGGCCTCACCTCTCAGTCTCCATTTCCATCTTTCCTAGTCTACCTTTAATGGACTTGAGCCCCCTCATTTCCTTAGATTCTTCGGATCTTGAGCTAGAAAAGATCATCTAATCCAACTCCTTCATCTTATAAAGAGACTGAGGCCTAGCAAGGTCTGGTGATTTGTCTAAAGTCACATTAAGTAGCACAAACGGGATTTAGAGCTGTTCAGTCGTGTCTGACTCTTTGTGACCCCATGTAGGGTTTTCTTGGCAAAGATACTGGAGTGGTTTGCCATTTCCTTCTCCAGCTCATTTTACAGATGAGGAAACTGAGGCACACAGGGTTAAATTACTTGCCCAGGGTCACACAGCTAGTAAGCATCTGAGGTCAGATTTAAACTCAGGAAGATGAGTCTTCTTGACCCCAGGACAGTACTCTATCCATTGCACCACCCAGCTACCCTTCAGATTCTGGTGTCCCTCATGAACTTGTTTCTAAAAAATATTTTGGGGGCAGCTAGGTGGTGCAGTGGCTAGAGCACCCTGGCCCTGAAGTCAGAAGGACCTGAGTTCAAATCTGGACTCAGACACTTGACACTAACTGTGTGACTCTGGGCAAGTCACTTAACCTTGATTGCATTCTCCACTCCCACCCCCAATAAAAAAAATAAAAAATATTTTGATAACTGAATTTCGGTGTATTTGGTTTCCTTTGTAATCCTGTATGCATTTTATTCTGTGAATGTAAAAACTTATCATGAGAAGAGGTTCGCAGGCTTCACTAGAATGCTAGAAGGGTGAAGAGATCCTGGGGTTCTTCTGCTCTAGGGGTTGCTAAATCTGTGATCTTATGGTCCCTAGTGTCTGTTTCAGCTCTAGAAACTCTGAAACCCAGGTCTCTTCTGCCCTCTCAGTTCAGTTCTCTGCACCAATGAAACCAGCACGTCTGGTGACGGGCCCACCCAGTTCAAACCAATCCTCCCCTGGGAGTCTCCTCTTCCCTTCCCCCAACCTTTAGTATTTAGGAAGGGGAGGGGAGGTGTTTTTTTTTTCTTCTTAAAACAGGAAATGGTGAAACACAGTCAAGAAGTAGATCTTAATGACTTGCACATTTCATCCATAAAAGTCCCCAGATTCCCAAGCCTAGGGGACTTGTGAATGAGGTCCTCAGGGGATAGGACACCCTAGGAAGCAGAGAAAGCCGAGGTGAACCTGGCTAATCCTCTTACCGGGCCCTAGGACCTCAGGGGACTTCCTCCTGTAGTGGGCACTGAACCTGGGCAGGTCAAACAAGATCTTAACCCTGCTCTCTGGGAGCTTTCCTTTGTGGAACTGTCAAATTGGGTCAAAGCTAATAGGGACATTAGAACATGGAGCATCAGAACTGGAGTCCATGGAATGTCAGAGACCTCTTACTGGAAGCCTTTGCTTATCACCATGCAGAGTACTCTCCCTCCTTGAATTATCATGCATATGTATATCTGCTTAAGTATTACATAGAACTAAGGCCCTTTGACAGAAAAGTATGTTCTTCTGTTTTGTCTTTTATCCCCAGCGCCTGACACAGCGAAGTGAACTCTCAGGGTTCTTTGATCAGAGGATGTCGGGAGTTTTCAAGGACCTTTGTTGTTGTTGTTCAGTCATTTTTGGTCGTGTCCTACTCTTTGTGATCCCATTTGGGACTTTCTTGGCAATGTAGATACTGGAGTGGTTTGCCATTTCCTTCTCCAGATAATTTTACAGATGGGGAAACTGAGGCAAACAGGGTTAAGTGACTTGCCCAGGATCACACAGCTAGCAAGTATCTGAGGCTGGTTTGAACTCAGGAAGATGAGTCTTCCTGACTTTAAGCCCAGCGCTCTAGACTCACTGGGCCACCTAGCTGCCCTTCAAGGACCTTAGGGATCAGCTAGGGCAACCCCCTCATTTTACAGAAGAAATGATAGGAAATGACTTGTCAGTAAAGAGCAGAGCCAGTATCTGAAACCATGTGCTCTGACTCCTAGTGTTCTTTAAAAAAAGAAAGAAAGAAAGAATTAAATAATAATTAACAGAAATCTGTTTTCTCTCCCATCCTCCACCTAATTTGGAAAAATAAAAATAAAAACAAAATCCTTATAACAAATACACATATATCAAGCAAAACAAATTCCTTCATTGGCCATGTCCAAAAAATATGTGTCTCATTCTGTGCTCTGAGTCCAGGACCTCCCTCTCAAGAGGTGTAGATATCAACACTGGAATCATGGGATGGTCATTGCATTGATCAGAGTTCTTATAGCTTTCAAAGTCATTTGTTTTTACATTGTTATTGTAAAAAGTTGTTCTGGTTCTGTTTACTCTGCATCAGTTTATATATGTCTTTCCATATTTCATTGAAATCATCTGTTTCCCCATTTCTTGTAGTACAATAATATTCCATTACATTTGTATACCACAACTTATTCTGCCATTGACCAATTGATGGGCACTGTCTTAGTTTCCTTTTTTTTTTTGCCATCACTAAAAGAGCTACTATAAGTATTTGTGTACATATAAGACCTTTTTCTCTTTTTTTAGGTATAGACTCAGCAGTAAATGGCTGGGTCAAAGGGCATGCACTGTTTAGTAACTTGTGTATACAGTCATTCTAAATTGCTTTCCAGAATGGTTGGACCCATTTACACCTCCACCAAGAGTGTATCAATACTTCTGTTTTCCCACCGTCCCTCTAACTTTTGTGACCTACAAATAAATGGTTACCTCGTAAACCAATTAGGTAAATAAGTGAAAAAAAGCACCTCTCAGATTTGTGGATTGAAGAAATGATCGTGATCAAACAAGGGATAGAAAGGATCACAGAAGATAAAATAGATAATTTTAATTACTCCAAGTTAAAAAAGGTTTACATAAACAAATGCAATAAAGCTAAGATTAAAAGGGAAACAATTAACTGGGAGGAAAATTTTTGCAGCAAATTTCTCTGATAAAGGTCTCATTTCCAAGATATACAACATGTCCCAATGCTCTTAAGGTTTTAAACTTTAGTAGCTTAAAACAGCAGTAAGACTTTGGGGAATACTGTATATGAAGAACGGATTCAAATTGACAACAGTAAGAGCCATTTTTCAATTGATAAATGAAGACATGAATAGGTAGTTCTCAAGGGAAGAAACCCAGGCTTTCTATGAAAAAATGCCCAAAATCATTTATAGAGAAGTGTTTTTCTTTTCGTCACATATTTACTCTTCAGCAGGGAGTCCTGATTTCTACTCCTGACTCTACCACTAACTCCCTGTTATGATCTGGGACAGCACACTCGTCCATCTCTGGGCCAGCTACAAAATAAAATGATTGAACCAAATGATCCCTAAGGTCCCTACCATCTCTGAAACTGTATGATCCAAAGTCCTATCCAGTCCACTCCAAAACAGTCTGACCAACATTTATCAAACAACAAGCATTTACTGAGTGCCAGGAACTGTGCTGGGAGCTAGGGATACAAAGACAAAAAAGAAAGTGTCTACTTTATGTGAAACAATAGCAGGGGTTGAAAATATGGAGATGAACTAGAAAAGCAGTGTCTGCCCTCAAGGAGCTTACATTCTACTGAAGGGATACCACACATAAACAGGTAAGTATATACATGTTGGGAAGCTAGGTGGCACAGTGGCTATACTAGAGCACCAGGCCTGGAGCCAGGAAGACTCATCTTTCTGAGTTGAAATCTGGCCTCAGACACTTACTAGTTATGTGACCCTGGGAAAGTCACTTAACCCTGTTTGCCTCAGTTACCTCATCTATAAAATGGGCTGGAGAAGGAAATGGCAAACCACTTCAGTATCTTTGCAAAGAAAACCCTGAAATGAGGTCACAAAGAGTTGAACAATGACTGAAATGACTTAACACACACTTATACATAGTAATTGGAGGAGAGAGAGAGAAAGCACTGATGAATGGATGATGGGGGGACAGGCTTCGCATAGGGAGTAGACCACGGGAATTCGAAGAGGCAAAGGTGAGAAGGGAGAACCTTATGGGTGTGCAAAAGCATAGAGATATGAGAGAGAGATGATCGAGTGTGGGGGACACTAAATGGGCTGGTGTGGCTGGAAGATAGCGTGCCTGAAAGGCAAGGGTAATGTGAAATAAGCCTGGAAAGGGAGGTTAGAGGCAGACAGTGAAGGGTTTTAAATGCCCACTACAGAATTTGATTGGGTCACTGAAAGTTCTATGCAGGGGATTGCAGGATACAGGGCAGAATAGGAAAATTATTTTGGTAGATTTGTGGAGGATTGGAGAGGAGAGAGCCTGGAAGTAGGGGGATCAAGTAGGAGGCTAATGCAATAGTCCAGGCAAGAGGTGATGGGGGTCTAAATGGAGGAATAGGCTGTATGATTGGAAAGAAGAGGATGGATGAGAGATATGTTGGAAATGTAAAGTGAACAAGACTTGGCAACTGATTGGATATGGAAAGAAGATGAGGGAGACAGAAGAGTTGAAGAGGCCAAGGCTATGAACTTGGGTTCATGAAAAGGAAGATGATGTATTCTGTTTCGGACAATTTAGATTTGTGATGTCCATGGGACATCCAATGGGAAATGTTCAACAAATAGCTGGTGATGAGTGACTAAAACTCAGGCGAGAGGTTAGAGCTGAATAAATGTTAGAGAGTTACGTGCAATAGAGATGATACTTGAACCAACAGGAATCAATGAGATCATCAAGTGAATGTAGTGAAAGAGAAGGTAAGAAGTCCCAGGATAGAATCTTGGGGGATGATCACGGTTGGGAGCCAGCAAATGCATGATGAAGACACAGTAAAGGAGCCAGCATGATGGAGACACAATAAAGGAGACAGAGATGGAGCAATCATGTAGGCAGGAAGAGAAATAGGAAAATACATTGTCATGCTATGACCAGGTTGGATTTATACCTGAAAGGCAGGGTAGGTTCACTATTAGGAAAATTATCAACACAATAGACCATATTGATAAGAAAACCAACAAAAATCATATAATTATGTTAACAGATGCAGAAAAAGCTGTGGACAAGATACAACACTCATTCCTGTTAGAAACACTAGAAAACATAGGAATAAATGGACCTTAATATAAGTAGTGCCTCTCTAAAAACAAAGTTACCATCATATGTAATCAGAATAAACTAGAGGCCTTTTTTTAAAAATAATATAAGAGATAAAATGAAAAATTTCACTATCATCACTACTATTTGTTATAGTGGTAGAAATGCTAACTCTAGAAATAACATAAGAAAAAGAAATTGAGGGAAAAATGATAGGCAAAGAGAAAACTAAATTATTACTTTTTGCAGATTAAATGATGGTGTAGTTAGAGAAACCTAGAATGCCAACTAAAAATATTAATTGGAATGATTAACAATTTCAGGAAAGTTGTAGGCTATAAAATAAACCTATGTAAATCTTCAGCACTTCTTTGTGTTAACCATAAAATCCAGCAGGAAGAGATGGAGAGAGAAATCCCACTTAAAATAACAACTAAATGTGTGAAGTACTTGTGTGTCTGTCTATCAAGACACATATAGGAACTACATGAATTATAAAAGCTTAAATAATTGGAAAAATATTAATTACTTATGGGTAGGCCAAGCCAATGTAATAAAATGGCAACACTACCTAAATTAATTTACTTATTTAGTACTAGATCAATCAAACCATCAAAGCATTACTTTATAGGGCTAGAAAAAAAATAACAATAATATCTTGAATGAAAATTCAGGAATCTCGGGGGGGGGGAATGATGAGAAAAATAAGTGAGAAATACCATATCTCAAACTAAGTTACAAAGCAGTAATCATCAAAGTGACTTGATACTGGTTAAGAAATAAGAGAGGAATGAGGAGGAACTGAGTTCAAATCCAGCCTCAGACCAAACACTGGACACTTACTAGCTGTGTGACCCTGGGCAAGTCACTTAACCCCAATTGCCTAAAAAAAAAAGAAAAAGAAAGAAAGAAAGAAAGAAAGAGAGAGGTCTGTTAGGGGAACAGATTAGATTCACAATATACAGAAGTAAATAACTGCAGTGCTCAGTGTTTGATAAACACAAAGACCCCAGTTACTGGGGTAAGACCTCATTATTTGACAAAATCTGCAGAGAAAACTGGAAATCAACATGGCGGAAACCAGACAAATATTTCACACCTTCTAGGAAGATAATCTCCAAAGGTATGTGACTTTGACATAAAGGGTGACATCATAAACAAATTAGAGGAACAAGGAAGAAATCACCTGTTGTTCAAAGGACAGTAGAAGAGTTCGTGACCGAACAAGGGATAAAAGTATCAAGGAAGGTAAAATGGACAATTCTGATTACAAAAAATTATGCGGTTTTTGTACAAACTAAACAATGAAGCAAAAATGAGGATGGAAGTGAGTATTTTTTAAAAGTGAGTATTTTTAAATACTTACTATGTGTTAGGTACTGTGTTAAGTAGTTTAAAGATATTATCTCATTTCATCCTTACAACAACTCCTTGGGAGCTGTTATTATCCCCATTTTACAGTCGAGGAAGCTGAGATTAAGTGACTTGCCCAGGGTCACACAGCTAGTAAGTATCTGAGGCTGGATTTGAATTCCAGGTTCCTGATTCCAGGGTCAGTGCTTTACCCACTGTACCACCCAGCTGCCTAGTGGCAGCCTAAATTAGAAAGGAAGCAGACAACCAGGGGAAAAAAATCTTTGGAGCAAATTTCTCAAAAAGATCTCATTTCCAAGATATGTTAGGAACTGATTCAAATTTATAAGAACAAGAGCCATTTTCCAATTAATAAGTGGATATGAATAGGCATATGAATAGGTAGCTTTCAAAGGAAGAATTCCAAGCTATCTTTAGCCATATAAAAAAAAATTTCTCCAAATCCCTAATAATTAGAGAAATACAAATGAAAACAATTCTGAGTCTCTATTTCACACTTATCAAATTAGAAGACCTGACAAAAAAAGGGAAAATAACAAATGTTGGAGGGGCTAGGGGAAAGCAGGCACATTAATTAATGTTCATTCATCTTTAAACTAGTCTGGCTATTCTGGAAAGCATTCTGAAACTATGCCTTAAAAGACACTAAACTGTGATTAACCTTTGACCCAATGATACCATAACTAGGGCCATACTTCAAAGAAATCAAAGGAAGAGGAAAAGGACCCATGTATACAAAAATATTTATAGCAGTGTGTGTGTGTGTGTGTGTGTGTGTGTGTGTGTGTGTATGTAAAAAAAACTTGGAAACTCATCATTTGGAGAATGGCTGAACAAATTATAGTATATTAACGGGATGAATGATTTTAGAGAAACCTGAAATTTGTATTAACTGATACATAGTAAAGAGAGCAGAACCAGGAGAGCAATTTATACGAGAATAACACCATGTAAACATAAACAACAAATAACTTTGAAAGAATTGAGATCTGATCAACACAATGATCAACCATGATTCCAGAGGACTGATGATTAAGCCTGTTTCCTACCTTATGACAAAGAGGTGATGGACTTAGGATACAGAATGAGACATTTTTTGGATACAGCCAATGGGGGAGCTTGTTTTCCTTAATTACACATATTTGTTACAAGGGTTTTCTTTTTCTTTCTTTGTGTGTCTGTGTGTGTGGGGGGAGGGGTTGAAGTGGAAAGGAAAGAAAATAGAATTTTGCTAATTGAAAAAAAATTTTTAAAAAAGCAGCACAGTTTTATAAAAACAAAGGGAGGAGAGAATATCCAGGAATAAAGGGTGGTCACCAATGTCAGATACTGCCATGAATTCAAGAAGGATGAAGGTTGAGAAAAGGCCATTGGATTTAGCAGTTAGTACCTTGGTAACCTTGGAGAAAGCAGTTTCTGTTTCAACTCTAAAGTTCTATGATCTGTGTTCTACCATTTGCTTTTACATGTTATACACTGAACCCTTGAGGAATCCTAGAATACCATAAGTCATATCTGGAAAGTCATAGAATACAGAACATAAAATGTTATAGCTGGAAGCATTGATAGAGATTATCTGGTCCAGTCCCCTCATGTTATAGGTGGAGAAGGTAAAGTCTAGACTCCAGAGAGTAGAAACACCCTAGGCAAGGGCCACACACAGCTGATAAGTAGCTGTCCAGAACCAAGGGCTCTCGACTGCCACAGAATCACAAAATTTTAGAGTTGGAACGAGCTTCTGTAACCATCTAGTCCAATTCATGCCTGAAAAACAATCCCCGCCAAGACATGTTCAGCCAGTGGTTCTTTGGACCGTACTTGAAGGCCTCCAATGGATCATTTCACTTTGGGACGGCTCTAGTTGATCAGAAGTTTTTCTGGGACATCAAGCCTGAATCTGTCTCTTTGTAACTGCTGCCAACTGCTTCTGGTTCTGGGCCAAACAGAGGAAGTCTAATCAGTCTTCCACGTGACAATCTTTCAGCTATTATGTTCCTCTTGGTCTTCTCTTCTCCAGGTTAAACATTCCCAATTCCTTCAATAACTACAGTCCAGGATTCTCCACCATGGAATTAATAAGCTATTCTTATGGACAGCTAACCTATTTTCTCTCTGACCCCAGGATCCAGTTTTTTAATGCAATTAGACTACAGTCTCTAATATTACTTAATAGGGTGAAACCTATCAAAGGCTCTTTCATAGCTAAGGGCTGACTACGTGGGGTTTTGGCAAGGGGCCTGGGGAGGGCTTGGGGGTCCTGGCTGGGAGAAGCCATTAAATATCTTCTCTTCTCTTCCCCTCCCTACTTTTTCTTTTAAAAAGTGCAGGAAATAAACAGATTGTAAAGCATATCCTTGGGTGTTCCAGGCAGGTAGAGCTGGGAGCAGAGGAGAGAGGAGGGGAAATCCTGACTTGCTGGATTGGTGGGCCACCTCTGGGAACATCTGTAACAGATTAGCTGGCCCTGCTAATCACTAGCCCCCATTCAATCAGCTGGACTCCAGGGAGAGGGAGGGGTCCTGCAGCCTAAGAGGAGGAGGGGAATGGATCCTTTGACCT